AGAGTTAAGATTTGGCAAACAAATGTAAATTAAAACATATGTTAAGGTACTGGTAATCTGACCCGCGAACACCAACTGATTCATAAAAATATGGACACCGCACAAAGGTTTAATATTCTGATGTTGAAAACAGTAAGCATTCTCTTGCAGACGACAAGCAGCGAGTTAGCGGAAGTCTGAAAATAAGTAGCTCGCTGAAAGTTAATGAAAGAAAATAGCGTACGTTATCGCTATTTTATGCCGCTAAAAATTGTCAAAGCAGAAGTTATCGCTTCAAATTTCCGCTATATGAAAAAGTAGGGAGATACTCCGCTACCGAAGAAATTAGCTCGGTTAGTAGCGGAGTAGCGAATAGCGCGCTATTGCCCACCACTATGTATTAATAGGAAGAAACTGAAGTTGCAAATAATGGGAAAGGTGAAATAAGGCCAACCACAGCGAAGGCTTATTGATTCAATAAAAGAATGTATGAAGAAGGTTGAGTTAGCAACAGAAAATGCCACAGATTGCGCGTATTGGAAGAGAAGACCTCACTGCGACGAACCCTCATGGAACAAGCCAAAGGGACTGTAAGATTTTTGTCGAGCGGTCAGCGAGAAGGATGTGATCGTTTGGAATCGGTCAAAAGCCGAATGCAAGGCGAGGTATCGAGAAGAGATTTGGTTGATATGTGAAAGGAGGCAGATATTTACTTGTATTTCAACTCGCGTTAGCCTCGAACCGATTGTCATCGACTGCCCTTTCTTATTGTTCACTTGATATTGTCCTGGTTTACCCAACGTATGATCCAGTCTTTAAAAAAATTTTTTAGCAAATCAATTCATTACTTTCCATTATTACTCTGAAACAAATCACTTCATTACTCTGAAAGATGATGCAGTTAAACACCATCGCTATTGCGTTAGGACAACAAAGAGTACCTTCTTTGAAGTTCCTTTATTCTCACCATCATTTCCAACAAAATTTTTGGCTCCCTCAAAAAGAAATATCACAGCAACATTTAGCAGCCTGAGCTGAGACTACCACGATAGCTTTTTTCCGAAGTCGAGGCGAAGCAGACTTCGGAGCCGGAGCAGAAATTTCGAAGGGTGTCGAACTGGAACTTGAGAAGAAAGTTGAAAATTACGGAGCGGGGTCGGAACCGGAGCTGAAGTTCCAAATACACGTATCCGGAACTAGAGTTAGTGATAAAATTTTAAGAAATGCAGAGTCGAAATTTCAAAAATACGAAGCTAGAGCCGGAATTTTTAAAAAGCGAAGCCGGAGTCGGAGCTGGACCAATTTTTTTCAGATTAGGCATAACTGGTGAGAACTGCTATGTTCCTGCTATGTTAGGTGAATATAGACTTGCGGGTATCAGCTGCTAGTAAATGAAACAAATGATGGCGATGCGCTTCGTGTCGCAGTCATCCAAAACATTCTTCTATGTAATTTTGTATGACAAAGCCAAACGAATGATGAGAAAACAAAAAGTGGTAGCTCGCAACAATCAAGACGTAATGAAGCACTCAAAGTTTATCAGTTGTGCGACTGATGTTTGCCTCAAACGTATACTCATTTTATCGAACGATTCGTGAACAATTGAAAACAAAATTCAGTGACATATAACTGACGATAGCAGATGAGAGGATTTGACCTCATTTTTGAGCGTTCCTAGCAAGTTTATCCATCTTGAAAACTGTGGTCAAAATGTGAGAAGTGTTGATGGTATTCGACGATATGTTTGTAAGTTGATCCAGTATATAGAATCTATATTGATAAATGATCAGTTTCCTAAGATCTCACAAAACTGATGAATCGTCAGCCTTTATTGTCTGCATCAATGCTCGGTACAAATAACTTTCGAGTTAACAGCTTCGATTCGCCTGATTTCGAAGTTTTCTCAGGAAGCACATTCGAGAAGGTAACTAATTTTTATGTCACAAAAGACTATCACGTTTGGTCAGTACGCATTTCAGCATGACTCGCTGAATTTTGATTAACATATTCTAGATCAGTGGTTCTCACAGTGGGTAAAATTACCCATTTTGGGTAATTTGGAGGTGTCAAGGGGTGATGGGGAAGGGAGGTCGAGAAATTAGTATTTCGCGCAGTTGTTATGTTATGATAGATGGTGTTTTTTAACTCGGGTATGTAAATGTGGTTAGTTGATGGCAATACTTTTCATTCTCCTAATTTCTGAATATCATTAGCTCGTTCGGGCCTAACAGGGCATACCTTTTCATGCAATCATATTCGATCGCAGCACTGAGGAATACAACGGTCAACAATGTCGATTACCATCATGGACTTGCTAATAAGGTTGAACGTAACGGTCATCTGAACATAACATGTGCGATTTCCATATTTAATAGGAGGAGGGGGTAACGGCGACCTACCAGACCATCAAAAGCGGTAATGAAGTACCCGAACGTGAGAACCACTGTTTTAGATCATATGCAGTAGCAATTTGTCAAGGTAGCCTCTCAGCTTGGTGAGTATCAAATGCTCATTGCAGATGTTTAACTCGCGCTTCCGAAGCCTGCGAGAACGAAAGATAGCCAAACCGACTCTCAAAGGGAAAGTGTATAATTTTCTGGAACGACCAACTGGCTGGAAATGTTTTATATATCATTTTAGGTTCCATCTTCAACTTGCTATAATACTCATCTAATCGCACACCCATAACTCTTCCTCCCTCTTGTTCAGCATTCAATTCATAATACTTTTTCATTCTGAACTGTTTTGTCACAGGTTACTAACAGCTCTCTACTTCGTTTAACCACCATTTAAAACTGCCATCATACAAACACTGACAATGAGTGAAAAATGTATGAAACCGCAACTTTTGAAATTGAATCGAGAATCACCACTATTTTTCAAAAATAATGGGATAAGCAACCTACATATATCCTATAATTAACTATCTTTCTATTTTCTTCTTGCATACGAATCAAATTTTGTTCGTCGAAATCTGTTTCATATCACTACAAATGCAGAATGACTTCTTCATATACAATCTTGATCAAGTGCTGATAACAGTTTTAAAAGAATTCCACTGTGATAAGCAGTCATTCTCTCGTCATAAACATTTCCCAACTTGAATGCTAATGCAAATTCTTTCAGCGTATTCATTGTTGTTCTTCTTTGTCTTATTCTCAGTGTTCTCACCACTGTAGAGGCGTATACACGAAGAGCACATGAACTTCTCTTTTTTATGGTATGTTTTCGAATTGTCATTATGTTTCGTGAAACATTCAATTATACTCATAACTGCGAATTATGAAAAAGCTCGTGAGAACGATACTAATATTTAATAAACAACTGAACTTATGATTAATGAAAGTTCAGCATGAATTTCTTATCCAGGAGGTTTTTCTGGTGATATTTTTCGGTGTTGAATACTGTGTTCGTTTATGGTCGGCAGGATGTCGCTCCAAATACCTTGGTATTCTTGGACGTCTTCGTTTCGCTCGAAAACCTATATCACTCATTGGTCAGGCCCCTTTTCGCACATTATCAAAAATACAGCCAAATTAAGGGAGCTGTTACTTTGAGATCAACAAGCACTCACTCATTTTCTTGTCTGCCTCTTTCTTTCGGTATTCCAATAATAATAAACAGTTTAAAAGCATAAAAAAGGAGACAGACAAAAAGCTGAGGTTGAAGGTCAAGTGCGGCACAGCAGTATCTATCTCTAGCATCAGAAAGACTGAAGTAGAGATGCAACAAAACATTATTGTGAAAGAGTGATATTGTATTCAGATTTATGTGTTGTATTAGCGAGTTCAGTCGTGATCTGCGTTGGAAGTGAGGGACAAGTGTTCGCAACAAGTGCGATTAGGTTCGTTTCTGTCTATCACCCGTTTCTATAGACCGTATCGAAGGCGTTTCGAATTGCAGAGGCGTTCGTTTCTTGCAAATTCTTCGCATGCTTCATGTGGACCGTCAAGGTGGCACATGGTAAGAAAAACTCTTCTAAAACCTTTCAAGTACTTTGCGCAAGTTTTTCACTAATTGCCAACACTAATTATGATTAACGAAGAAAACGGCAAGGCGAAATGGGAGCATCGCTGCGGACCGTGAAAACCATCTGGGTCAATTCACTGCACTCTTAACTTGGGTTAGATCTTGAGTTCATGCATAAGTCTAATCCAAAGTTTGAGACCTCAAGTAGATGATGATGAATTACGTGCATGTTTTGGCATGGCGTCGATGCGTTATGTGGTTATCACTACAACCCATCGGAAATGTCACATCGTTTTGAATTACTACGAGCTTCGAACCAATTCAGAATTCGTAATCGAGATCATATTTTTCGTTTCTCGAAATTTTGAAATATTCCGAAGTGTTTCATTTTCGAAATCGAAATTTTACTTCTGAAATCAAAAATTCGTGGGATCAAATCAATAAGCTCGAAATTCCGGATTAAGAATGGAAAATTGACGGAATCACTTTCAAAATTCAAAACTTCAGTTCAAAATAAGAGACCCATATGAGTGGAATTCTGAAAATCCTGGTGATGTATCATCCTAAATATGATTAGCCTAAGCACCAGTGTTGATTCGATGCGCATGCAATGAACAGCAAATATCGCTTGTCAACCACATTTTCAGGCGGCTCCTTGGATCGGTTGTGTTTATTCATCGACAAGAACTGATCACGACTCTTTATATTGGTTTTCTTGGGCTAATTTTTTCATCATATTTCGTTTATCTGGCTGAGAAAGACCACGTCACACCTGAGGGAAGAGCCACTTTCTCGAGTTATGCAGACGCACTCTGGTGGGGAGTGGTAAGTAAGCTGCTGCATGCCGCAAAACTTGAGTGTTGCATCCGTGAACGTGCTGGCCACGAATCATTGCTTAGCCTTTAGATAACATTAACAACGATTGGCTACGGTGACGTTGTACCACAAACATGGGTCGGTCGCATTGTTGCATCTTGTTTTGCTATTTTTGCAATTTCCTTCTTCGCACTTCCAGCCGTGAGTTGTTTGAACACCTAACAATTTTTACTGAAGCATGAACGTAAATAGCGTTCGTCAACGAAACATAGATCTTTTTCCGCTAATTTTCTGAGTATTCCAGCACAATTTTTTCACCAGCTCAAACGCATAAATTTATAAATGTGTACTGCCCAGTAGTGATGGTAGTTGACTGAAGTTCGGTCGGAATTCTGAAATTCGGATTCCGACCGAAGGATTTTTAAATTCGATCGATATACCGAATTTCGGAATGTTTAAAAGTCGATTCGGTCGGATTCTGACCGAACTGAAATTTCGTACGGATGCCATCGCTATTGTCCAGCAGCGATTTCTCATGAAAGAACAGTCGAGCCGTTTTCTAGAACTCTTTTTCACGCAAATAATGAATATGAACTTCGTTTCCCATAAAATGACTTCATTTTCGTGTGATTTTCAAAGGAAAATTTTTGAATTTGAAATAAAAAGTATATGGATGCGATTGAGGATGTCAACCCCGCAAAATGTCCTAACCGATGATAACTCCTTGAACGCTTGCAGATGGACTTACCGCACTTGAAACACACTCAATTAAAACAAAACACATTCCATATGCACTTCATAAAGTTTGTATAATACACAGTACGTGCGCACTGTTCTGAAGTTTTTATACATTTTTCTTCGAAGAATGAAAATTTTTATTCGCAAATTATATCGTGAATGGGTTATTTCATGAGAAGCAAAGTTTATATTCGTTGTTTGCACGAAAAACAGCCCTGGAAAACAGCTTTCTTGTTCCCGACTCAGAAACTGCCATTGAATAGTGTGAGTTTCTGATTCAGTATGTTCATGTCGGTGGAAAAATTTCAGTTGGAATACACAGTGCCCAATCATGAAAAAAGATGTTCATTTCCGTAGTGAACGCAATAAATTGCCACATAAACTAGTAATTGTGTTTCAATTTTACAAAAAAAAAAAAGAATTTTTGTTGAACGGTGTTACCATGAATTTGCGGATATTTTTAATCACTCCTCAAAATGTTACGAATGCAGAAGTTGTGTTGAAAGGAATCAGCGAAATGAAAACAGAATTCGTTTTTAAACCCTAGAATTCGCGATAAGAAACTGATCCGCCAAGCATTTCTAGTTCATCGTTTGCTATAATGAGAAAACAGAACGAAGGCGATGGCAGCAACTTCAAACAACTGGTTTATTGCGGCTATGAATGAGACATTTTGAAGGATATTGAAATCAAATGAAGATGTTTGAGAGAAATGAATAGAGAATAGGCACTGTCTCGTCATGACCAATACAAGGCTCACTCATTCACTAAATGAGTTATGCCGAAACACGTGATGCGTTATTGCAGAGATCACGGAATACTGGCTCAGCTTTTCTATGGTAAACGTATTTACAGGGTATTTTGGGGTCAGGATTTGCACTCAAAGTACAACAAAAACAACGTCAGAAGCACTTCAACAGACAGATCCCAGCTGCAGCAACTCTAATCCAATGTCTCTGGCGATGCTATGCGGCCGATCGACATTCCGTCTCAACAGCCACATGGTAGATTCAAATCAGTTCTTTAACAAACCAATCATACTATCACTAATGAACGTTCAGCGTTACATTCATCAGCGTTACAGTCAAGAATACATCAAACCATCGAACATAACACTAAACAAAGAATAACAGTAATGGTGATTATAACGGTGATTGTTAAAAACGGAGTAACAATAAAAATGATTATGATCTATTCAATGATAACAATGTCGGTAATAGCTGCTCTAACTAAAAATTGCTATAACACTAAAAATAACTGCAAGTGCGATAGCGATGACACTTAGCAATAGATTACAGCAACTCACAAATGCAATGCCTAATGATGCCAGGTTTGCTTCTTATTCTGTCAAAAAATGAGAGTAGAATGAAATGATCCTGAGCGAATGAACAGCTTGTTCAGGTCAGTACACGTTGATCCGTTGACAAATAAAGAGGACCACGACCACAACGGTGCAAATCCAAAACACGGTACTAATATTGTGCAACGTGTCGTGCACAGAAAGTTTGTACATTCAGTTGTGTATCATTTCCATTACTTCATAATTTTACGGCCAACTGGGTAAAAGTGCTCAATTTTAAGCTTGGAAGGTCATCATGTCTGGCGTACAACTTTGTTTTTCGGTTCACACTGATCTGGTTTGAGCAGATCACTGAGATTCGTGCAAAGAAATTCAATGAGTTTAAGTGGAAAATATTGATACTGGATGATTGTTGGAGGATACCCGATCAGACTGAAAACATTACAGACTTAGAGGCCGACTGAAATCAATGACAACTGTGAATGAGGATGCACGATTGAGTGACGGTGAATTCGATGAACCAAATTTGGCCAAGTGTCAGTTGTTAATAGAATGCTCTACTGCCCCATAACCTAAAAAAAACTAATTGCCCCATAAACTGAAAAAAATGAATTTTTGTTGAACGATATTACCATGAGCGTGCGGATATTTTTCCACTTTTCTTCTCGCTAATAGTTCTGTCATTACCACACCCCAAATTTTGAAACTGTTCTGTTCACTTCCGCGCGTCTTCTTTTGGAGCTATTCTGTTTTCTTTCCTAGAACAGAACAGGAATGAAACAGTTTGAGTGGAATATAAGAATCACTGCCCCGTGCAACCGCAACCTTAAATGCATTTCAGCCAGATGGCAATCTTTTTCGTTCACAAACATGCTTCTAACCTCACAGCTGTTCTAATACAACCTATGCTCCAGAATGTTGTTTGCAAGCAGCTCGTACATTTCAGGTCATGCGCGAGGCAAGAAGTTCAGTTTGTTCGATTCAAAATCAGAAGGTATCGATCAAGAAGTGGATGCCGAGGAGCTTTCAAATACTTCTCATAAGATATCGCAGTCAGTAAATACTTCATCATGTCTCTGAAACGTTGTCACGACAACGCAAAAGCAGTAAAGAATCAAATGAAACGCGTTCTACTGTTTCTTCGTGTAACATTCAACAAACATCTTTGCGAACAAATATACCCTGAACAAGACTCTGAGTTTGCTGCCTTGCCTCCACCTTATCCTCACTCACACTTCGGAAGTGATACGAAAGTCTGGGTGATGAAGATGACAGGAATATTAACAGAGAGTTAGGGTGAATGATGATGTTAGTGCAATACTTATGTTTTATGGTAATAATTGATGATTGTGCGGGTTAATAATTGTGGCAAGTGCATTAATGGGCTATGAAAATGGAATAATGGGCAGCGAGCGCATGGTGGAATGGGTAGCCAGTGAGCAAACGAACAAGTTAAAATGCATTCTTTGTAAAGTGATGTGAACTTTCGTGAAAGTGAGTGAATGAGGTGAATTCGAACGAACTCTACCGACTGTCCATAACTACACAAAGATGCACCGCATTTTTTCTTGACACCGACAACAAGTGATCCAGTCGAACTTAATTTTGATTTCAGCATTTCTGAGCTAACGGAAGTGCATAAGAACGCCATACGAGCCATCCGTAAGATCAAGTATTTTGTGGCAAGACGTAAATTCCAGGTTTGACATTCACTGAAGCCTCGTATTCGACATGTGCTAATGCTCGACACAATATCAACCTCCATACTCTTATTCATGATATCAACAAACCGCACATTGTTTTTTCTCTTTGAGCTTGTTCAATTAGTAAATAGTGGTTAAATGTGATTTTGCAAAGGCACATAAATCAACATGTGCAAATTGTTCTATCTAAAACTAGCTTAATATTGCCTACTCTGGTCATAAGAGAGCTCTAGCAAAAGAGGTGGTGGAACATTTCTCGTGGAAATACCATCTCAAACTGATGCGGTGGTGAAGAATGAGGCAGGAAAGCAGTTTGTGAACAGTGATACCTAATTTGAAAAAAAAAGACCCATCTCGGCTTTTGCAAAATTTCGTCTCCGGCTCCTGCTCCACACTTTTAAAAATGTTCGCTCCGACTCCAGCCCCGGCCTCGTGTTTTTGTAGATTCGGCTCCAGTTCTAGCCACGTATTTTTTAATTTTCGCGTCCAGCACCAGATTCGCATTTTTCGAATATTCAGCTCCGGCTCCAATTTCGGCATTGCATTTTCGAAATTTCGGCTCCAGCCCCAGCTCTGGCTCCGCATTGCTTGAAACTATTTTTCCGGCTCCAAAATTTGCTCTGCTTTGCCTAGATTTCGGAAAAAAACTATCGTGACGGTCTCAGCTCTGGATGCGAAATGTTGCTGTGATATTTCTTTTCGAGGGTGCCAAAAGAATTTTTTTTCTGGCTCCGGAGATTAAGCACCACTGATTGTCAATAATCCCAAGGCCTTAATGAGATCGTGCGCACAAACCGATTAGATTTTTTCACTTTGGGATTTCTGATGTGTGCTGTCTGAGGAAGGAAGATGAGAACATTTCATGGCCTGAAAGGCGATATTACTGAGGAAGAATAAACGCAACTTTTTTTCGTCACCGATTAAAGCTATATCTCCAGATAAATGGTGCGAATGTGGAATGAAATAACGTTTCGATGAATAATTTAAACAATGTTAACATTTTAACTTCTTGTAATGTGAACTCAAAATGCTACAGTGACCTTACAAACATCCTGTTCTGAGAGGTAAACAAGGAGAAAGGAAGAGGGAGGAAAGGAGAGAGCAAGGAAGAAACAAGGAAAAGTGAACGTAGAAAAATTCAGTTCAGACCCTCTTTGCTCCCTCCTCCCATCCTGTTGAAAAAAGTCCTCGCACGCCCCTGACCCTATTCACAAGAATACGCTTATACTTAACAGCTAGTTCCTGGATTGATTACTAACGTCAGTGATTCTCAAGGCTACATTTTCGCCTGCAGAAATCGAACTATCGCAAAATTGTTTTGTTTTTTTCTGAGAATTTCGGTCAGAAAGAAATGTAAGTGGGAAGTACCCATCAACAACTTCGTAAGCAACTTTAATGAAACAGTCACGGCTTCTGCATTGTCAGATTTCCTTTGTAAAACCGCGCAGTGAGGCTACAAAAAAGGATTCACCAAACGACCAATCAATTTTTGCAATCGATTTTACATATGGAAGTAGCTAATCGTAACTGATTTATCTGCAGCAAGCAAAGAAGCCATACGATGTTCGCGATGTGATAGAGCAATACTCTCAAGGACATTTGAATATGATGGTGAGAATAAAGGAACTTCAAAGAAGGTACTCTTTGTTGTCCTAACGCAATAGCGATGGTGTTTAACTGCATCATCTTTCAGAGTAATGAAGTGATTTGTTTCAGAGTAATAATGGAAAGTAATGAATTGATTTGCTAAAAAATTTTTTTAAAGACTGGATCATACGTTGGGTAAACCAGGACAATATCAAGTGAACAATAAGAAAGGGCAGTCGATGACAATCGGTTCGAGGCTAACGCGAGTTGAAATACAAGTAAATATCTGCCTCCTTTCACATATCAACCAAATCTCTTCTCGATACCTCGCCTTGCATTCGGCTTTTGACCGATTCCAAACGATCACATCCTTCTCGCTGACCGCTCGACAAAAATCTTACAGTCCCTTTGGCTTGTTCCATGAGGGTTCGTCGCAGTGAGGTCTTCTCTTCCAATACGCGCAATCTGTGGCATTTTCTGTTGCTAACTCAACCTTCTTCATACATTCTTTTATTGAATCAATAAGCCTTCGCTGTGGTTGGCCTTATTTCACCTTTCCCATTATTTGCAACTTCAGTTTCTTCCTATTAATACATAGTGGTGGGCAATAGCGCGCTATTCGCTACTCCGCTACTAACCGAGCTAATTTCTTCGGTAGCGGAGTATCTCCCTACTTTTTCATATAGCGGAAATTTGAAGCGATAACTTCTGCTTTGACAATTTTTAGCGGCATAAAATAGCGATAACGTACGCTATTTTCTTTCATTAACTTTCAGCGAGCTACTTATTTTCAGACTTCCGCTAACTCGCTGCTTGTCGTCTGCAAGAGAATGCTTACTGTTTTCAACATCAGAATATTAAACCTTTGTGCGGTGTCCATATTTTTATGAATCAGTTGGTGTTCACGGTGAAGAAAGCACACAGAAGAAGCGTACAAAG